AAAAAAAAAAAAAGCTTTCTTTTGAGATAGGGTCTTGCGAAGTAACTAAGTGGCCCACCCTCCCAAGACAGCAAGGTTCAGCCTCCAGCATGGAGTGGAGCAGAGCCAGGAGGGCGACTGTGAGGCCCCAGGGCCCTGGGGACAGGACCAGGATGGCAGGAGCCTGGCTTCCCAGTGCCTCCTGCAGCTCTAGGAGGGGATCCTGCGAGGCTCGAGGACCCCGCCCAAGGAGAAACAAGAGAGGTAGAGGGGGTGTGGGGAGCAGGACGCAGAGCAGCTTCTGGAGGTGGAGGGGAAGACTCCCACTCCCTCAACCTGGGATCAGACAGGGATCAAAAGTCACAGATCAAAGGTCACTGAGAGGCGCCAGTGGTGGTGGCACCAGGGCAGCCACCCCATCTGCCAGACAAAGCCCAGGAGCCAGGGCAAGAATCACAGGGTCCCCAGGGATGGGCCCAGCCCTGGTAACGAGTGCATGGCACCCAGGCAAGGTGGCACCAGCCTGGGATCCCAGCTACTCAGGAGGCTGAGGCAGGAGGACCACAATCTCAAGACTAGCCTGGGCAACCTGGTGAGACCCTGTCTCAAACTAAAAAACAGAAAAGGCTGGGGACGCAGCTCCATTTCCTGCCCAGTGTCCGCTCTGTGGGGGGCAGGCACACCCTGGCATACCCCATGTGGGGCTGGGAACTGGCAAAGGGCAGGAGGGAGAAACCCCGCCCATGCACACTAGCCCTCTGGACTCTGAGTATCACAGCGTGCAGGGGCAGGTGATCCATGCACACCAGAGCACAGCTCCTGAAGAACCTGGGCGTGTGGGATCCTGAGACGGGAAACAAGCAGCACAGCAGGATGACGGTCCCTCCCCACCAGCAGGGAAAGGTCCTGCACGGGGGCACGCCCTGGAGTCCTGGGTCAGGAGACTGGAGCAGGACAACTGCCCAAACCTAGGAGTCTGAGGTGAGCCTGGCCAACACAACACACAAGACCCTGTCTCAAAGATAAGGCTGGGCATGGTGGCACACACCCCAGCACCAGGGAGGCTGAGGCAGGAGGACTGTCAAGATTTCAAGGCCAGGGGGCTGGGGATTTAGCTCAGCGGCACAGCGCCTGCCCAGCAAGCGCAAGGTCATGAGTTCGATCGCTGGTACTGGAAAAAAAAAAAAAAAAAAAAAGATTTCAAGGCCAGCCTGAACTGCACAGCAAAACCCTGTCTTACAAATACAAAATAATAATAATAACAGTAATTCCAAAAAGAAAAGATAGCGGATTCTGACTTTACACTTACAGGCAAATTACATTCAGCTCATTCAGCAGCTTTTGGGAATGGGGCGGAGCTTTTTTGGCTTTTTTTTTTTTTTAGTAGTAGTGGACATCAAACCCAGAGGCACTTTACCACTGAGCTATATCATCAGCCCTTTCTAAAAAAATTTTGAGACACGGTCTTGCTAAATTGCCCAGGATAGCTTTGAATTTGTGATCCTCCTGCCTCAGCCTCCTGCATAGCTGGGATTATAAGCATACAGCACCACGCCCAGCTATGTCCTTTACTCTGATTATGAGTATCTGGCTGGAGTGCACACCCAAGGGAGGTGTTCTAGGGTCAGAGGTCATCACAGAAGCTTTCCAACCTAGCCCAAGGTGAAGGGTCAGACCCCAGGGAGCCATGCTGCGCCTTCCAGATTAAGACAAATGGGGAAAAGCACTCCAGGGAGACTCATCAGGGAGCCAGGGAGAGAAAGGTGACCCTTCCATCCCTGGAGGACGGGAAGCCATGTGTGGGCGGCAGAGCCCGAGACCCGGCCCAGCAGCACCAGGGCTGGCTTTCTGCTTGGCCCAGGAGACACCTGCTCCTCCTGGGGAAAGCAGCTCTTGTCCTGCAGACACAGAGGGCTGAGCAATTTGGCAACAACAAACCGCTTGTAACCTGCGGAAGCCAGGCACAGTGCCGCACCTGCTGGTAACACCACTCATGAGGGAGGGTAAGATAGGATGATCAAAAGTTCAAGGCCACCCTGGGGAACTTAGCAAGACTGTCTTAGAGTGAAAAATAAAAATGAAAGGGCTGGGGATGTGGCTCAGTGGTAGAGAAATGCCTACCATTTGCAAAGTCCTGGGTTCAAACCCCCGAATGAGAGGGGCACACAAAAAACAGTGGCCAACCCCATCTGCTCTCTGGGAAGCAGCCAGAGCTGCGGTGCTAGCCCCAGGTGCTTGCTGAGGGGCTAGCATGGGGAACTGACTGCTGACCTGACCAGGCAGCTCCCATGGGCAGGAACCAAGTGTCCAGCGCAGATGACAACCACACCCCCAGCCATGCATGGCGCTGGTTCTGACCCTTCCTGAGGACTGTGGCCTGGGCTGCAGGAGCAGACCCTGCCCGGCCGGGACAGGCAGGGATGCACAGACACCAGCACTGCCTGCGACTGACCCGCCTTGGCCAAGAACACTTAGGCCAGGGACGTTGGGCAAAGGTCAAACCATCCAATGTACGCTGATCCTGGAGGACCAGGCCTGTAATCCCAGCACTCAGGAGGCTGAGGCAGGAGGATGGCCATGAGTTCAAGGCCAGCCTGGAATACACACTGAGTTTAGGACCCGCCTGCACCACACAGCAAGACCCTGTCTCAAAAAATAAAAAATTTCCCAAACCATCCAGTGTATAGTTTCTCTGAATTCTGAGCTCCTGAGACCCAGTGTAGGACTTTCATTGTGGAAGAACTGAAGATGTTCCTCAGACTCCTGGGCAGGAAGTCTGCACTGATTCAAACTGTTGGTGTGACAATCTCAACCCTAGACACATCCCTGGAGACTGAATCCAGAGCCTGTGCACTGGGCTACACCCCAGCCCTTTTCTGTTTTTGTTTTTTGAGACAGGCTCTTGCTGTGTAGTTTAGGCTGGGCTTAAACTCAGTGACTCTTCTGCCTCAGCCTCCCAAGTGCTGGAATTATAGGTGTGTGCCACCATGTCCAGCTTTTTTTTTTTTTTTGTGACAAGAGTCTTAGTAGGTTGGTAAATTTCCCAGGCTGGGCTCAAATTTATGACCCTGTGGCTTCACTCTCCCATTATGCCTGGCTCTATCTCTCCTTTTTTTTTTTTTTTTTTTTTTGTCTTTTTGAGACAGGGTCTCATTATGCAGCTCAGGCTGGCCTTGAGCTCACTTTATAGCCCAGGCTGGCCTTGAACAGAACTCCCGGTAGTCCTCCTGCCTCAGTGTCCTGATGTTCTAAAAATGTTTACCAAGTTTATTTTTACTAAACCACACTGAACTTGGTTTGCTGGGAAAAGCCTCTGAACCGGGCATTAGCTCAGCTGCAACCGCAGCTGCTAGAGCGGCAGAGGCGAGAGGATCACAGACTGGATACCAGGCTGGGAATTTTGACGAAACTCTGTCTCAAAAAATAAAAGGGGGTGGGATGTAGCTGGGTGCAGGCAGGGATCAGATAACAAAGGGGCAGGCTGGGTGGCGACCTTGCCACAGATGTGTCTGGCTTTGTTTTCGTCTTTTTGCAGCAGTGCATGGTGTGTTCAAGGATGGGAGCCTAGCCTGATGTGGCGGCCCAAGCCTGCAATCCCTGCTTGGGAAGCTGAGGCAGGAGGATCTCTGCAAGTTCAAGGCCAGTAGGCCCTACATAGTGAGTTCAAGGCCAGAGTGAGCTGCATAGCGACACCGTTTCAGAAAGACAAAAAAGGGGCACGGGGGAGGGGGGCCTAAGTGTTGTGGGGAAACTGCGTGTCTGTTACTCCGCCTCAGGGACAACCCTCACAGAAGGATCAAACGGCGTGGGATGCACACCAGTAACCCCAGCAGCCTGGGAGGCTGCGACAGGAGAACTGGAAATTCCGGCCCCGCCTGAGCAACTCAGATTCAGCGAGATCGATTCAAAAGAACAAGAAACAACGGAAAAAGTTGGGGAGACGGCGCAGTGAGAAAGCCCAGGGCTAAAAAAGGAAACAGAAAAATCACCTGCTCACGCGAAGGAAGCGAGTCCGGGCCCTGCGCCGGCCGCACCTCAGCCCAGGTCAGCCCCGGGGCGCCCCGCAGGCCGCCCCGTCTGTTTCCCGGGCGC